CGGCTGATCAGGGAGAACCAAGCTCGCACATCAGACAGCACAGTTTGAGGCTCACTGATAAGACTGTCACCCCAATTCAAGGCATAAACCTCTTACAAATGTGGGAGAAATTATGGGTGAGGTTGCTGGCTCAGAGATAGCATTTGTCTTTCAAAATAATGAAGGTTCCTTTTTCAAAAAAAAAGAGTAATAGTCCCAATGTAAACCCTCAAATAACCGCAGACCCAGGACTGTCACAGTTTGCAGCTTTCTCTCCTATGTTTTGAAACTTGAATTAGGAATGAACTGTAAACAATCCTTTGCAAGGGACACAGGGAGCAGAGAATTGGACACATGGGAAATTGAAAAGGGAGAGCATGTAATCTTGTTTTCAGAGGATGGTGGTGGAGTGGTGTGAGGATGCATATGTGTGGGGACTCCATGCTGATGTTTTCTTAGTGGCTGGCTTTTTTCTTTCTTCCTCTAAGTGCAGAAGATGATGGCAATTTATAGACTATTGTTCAGTTTTACTCTGTATTTAGGTAGTATATGTTTGTCTCAAAGAGAAGAAAAATAATAGTTTGCTCAGTCCCCAAGGAAAGCTTAGGTGCGTATAAAAAGCAGCACCCTCTGGGTGCTGGTTGTCTGCAAGGGCTCCCGCTCTGGGCTCTTTGTTGCCCCCTGAAGGCCCCCTTCTTGACTGCTGCTTGCCTTGCTCAATGTCTAGGAGGGAGTTTAACATGGAGCTTTAAAAAGAGTAATTTTCCCATCACAAACCCTCCAAAAACAACAAACCCAGGAGTCCGTCAGAATTCACCGCTGTCAGCTGACAGAACTGGATCCTTATTTTGGACTTAGGGGGACTTACACCAAGTGCTGTGTTAGGGGTGCTTTGGATCATGCAAATACCGCTTCCTTTCGTATTTCAGAAAGTTGAAGGAATTTTAGGTTTTGGTAATATAACATGGTTTTGTAAGAAACTATCCCATCTTTTTAAAGACATGATGACTGCAAGATGTAGGGACGAACTTATATAATGCTTGCTTGCTCTTTGCTTTAAAATTCTCAAGGGTAAAAAAGAAAAGAGGAAGCATTCTGCAAAATCTTCATAACTGTTAAATCTTGGCAATGGGTAGATGGAGGTTTCTTATACTGTGTTCTTGATTTTTGCGTGTGTTTGAAAACTTTTGTAACACAGAATTCCTGCTTTGCCGCTTTCTACCCTATGACCTTGGACAAGTTAACTTATTTTTTTTTTAACCCTCACTCAAGGAGTGAGGATATTTTTCCACTGACTTTTTAGCAAGAGTGGGGGAGGGGGGAGAGAGAGAGAAATATCCACATGAGAGAGACACACAGACTGGTTGCCTCCCACACGCACCCAGGCTGGGGCCGGGGATCGAACCTGCAACCCAGGGACATGGCCTTGACTGGAGAATCGAACCTGCGACCCTCTGCTGCGCGGGCCGATGCTCTAACCACCGAGCAGGCCGACGCCGGCCAGGGCCAAGGTAGCTTCCTTGTGCTTTGCTTTCCTCAACAGCAAAGCGGAGATCACAAGTGTCCCCCCCGGCAGGCCGCCCTGAGGACTGAGTAAGATGCTCGGGGCTGGTGCACAGCACAGGGCCTGCCACAGGGCGAGCGCTCGATACTCACAGATGATCGTCAGCATCGCGTGTGGACACGGGTCGGGGAATATCTCCCTGTCACTGGCTCTGCCTGCAGGTTTATTCAAGCTTCCTCTCGGGCCCCCAAGTCGGCCTCGCCTCGTAGCGTAAAGGATGCAACTGCACGCAGGCAAACGCTCAGGCGAACGCTTGACTCGCCTGGCGTGTGGCTCTGCTGGCACGTGCACTCTCAGGTGGCAGGGGTCCCTGAGAGTCGGTCAGCAAACGAGGGCGGCCGCAGGAAGGGAGAGGCTTAGGAAGGGAAATATACCACACACAGTGCTTGCTGGTTAACACACTTTATATTTAACAAAATAATTTTTTAATAATATATTCTTTACACATCAAATATTGTTGCTAGAATCCCCTTTGTACAGTTTAGTGTTTAGGTTTTATTTTTCTCACTAGTTTTTCAGGCACACCATTTTTCAAAGATTTTAGAAACTGAATCTTTTTTTTTTTTTTTTTTTTAAACAGGCATCAGCTGACAAACAGGCTGTTGTTGATCCCTTATTTAAGCAGAGCTGTAGTTAAAGCCGAGAACCACCGGTGGAGTGGAGGGGGAATGTAAGGACAGAGGCGACAGTGGGGTGGCGAACAGAGCCTTCAAAGGAAAAACAGCAACAGGTGAGGCCACGGCTCTGTTGGTCAGAGTTTGGGAAGAATTTCTCGATGACCTGGGTGGAGGGAAGTTGTCGGTGTTGACGGTGCGTGAGAAATTCTGTCACAGTATAGGTTCAGCTCTCCCTAAGAGGGCAAAAATGTCAGTGCTACAAAGTCTTAAATGAAACAGCTTGTATTGAAACTTTGAGTGGAAAAAAAAAAATCCAACAACAATAAAAAAAAATCCCTTTTTCTGGCTGGTCACAGCGGCCACTGAGCAGCCTTCATTCTGCAGACACTCTAAGGAGAGTTTCCTGATGGATATTATGCTTCATTCTAGTTAATTCTTACTGCGACTATCACAGTGCCATGACTCTGATGCAAAATTTCTGTACCCTGGCTTCCCAGTGGCACTCTCTTTCTGTTTTCTAAAAGAGACCATAGTAACTCCTTAATAATGCATAGGGTACTATGCTACATGGCTCCATTAATGATGTTTTCCGGGTTTTAAACCTTATTCCTGTCATTTATTATTTTTATTATTTCTTTCCAAGAGTGTGGATTTTTGAAGCTGGAAGCAGACAACCTGGGGGCAAAGAAAGCTCTATAATACATCTCTGTCTAGACACAAGCTGAAGTCTGAAATGCCTTTGCTTTGGAGTGCAGGGATAAATCATGCAGAATTGTTCATGAATGATTCATGACCGTCTAGATGACGTATCCGTGGTGGCAACTGAAAGGCACCAGCCTTGCTGCAAACTGGTGCTAAGGGGAGGCGGCTTGCTGTTCTCCCTCGGATGGCGCCGCATGGCTATTTGTGTCGTAACACGAGCACAGTGTGCGCGAGGAGTGTCAGGTCCAACTCATCACCGCATTAATTTTGGAAATGACAACTCTTTCATGATGACAGAAGGTGCTTCCAGGGAGGAGAGATGGACAATTTTAAATGAAAATCCAGTTGATGAGACTCAAGAAATATGTGTCTTAAGGGTGGATCTATGGCATAGAAGCACCACTCCCTTTGGAGGATCCTGACCCCTCCCCCTTGGAGCTGCTGACTATGTGTGTCCCAAAGGGCTCAGAGGCTCACCCAAGCCGCAGGCTCAGCCTGAGCTTGCCTGGTATGTCCCCTGGCAGAAGCCACTCTACACCGATTCGTCTAGACCAGTGCTTCTCAACCAGGTGATGTTTTGCCCGCTCCCTCACCTCCCAGGGACATTTGGAATGCCTGGAGACAATCTGTGGTTACAACTAGGGTGTTGCTCTTGGCATTTAGTGAATAGAGGTCAAGGATGCTGCTAAGCATCCTAAAAATGCACAGCACAGCCCCCCCAGTGATGCATTGTCCGGCCCCAAGTGTCAACAGCACTGAGGCTGAGGAATCCCGTCCTAGGACGCGGCCCTCCTCAGGAGTTGGGGCAAAGCCCGGGTGGGTGGGGGCAGACAAGGAAAGAACCATGATCATGGAGACGACCTTAACATTTCCTCAAGGACCCTGCCAGATCTGCGCCAGGGTTTTCAAGACAGGAAGGTGGAATAAGCAGCTAACTATGCCACGTGGTTTCAGAACTGCTGGATTTGCACTTGCCTCGAGGTGGCACGGGATACCCTGTGTATCTGAGTTTTTCTGTTACTATACTCGCAGCATTACCAGGGCAACCTTGAGACTCTTCAAAGGTTCACTTTAATTTGTTCAGTATCTAATATATACATTTTAAAAAATGTTCAACGACTGGAATAATATTGTGCAAGACTCACTCTACCCTAAGCTTTAATTGAAATCAGCACTTGAGGTGGAAAGAGTGTCCTGAATCTGTGTCTTAGACATAGGGCTGAGCGGTCGTTACTCTAACATGGCAAACACGGTCCTGAACCATAAGAACTGCCTGTGTGTACCACTGGCTCTCAGCCGAATCTGCCCTCAAAAGCCAGTAGTGTTCAGAAGGATTCAGATTCACAGTGGGGCTGCTCACCCTGGTTCTGGTATGTGTAGTGCCAGCTGACAGTGGGTTTAGAGTGGGTTTAGTTACGAGCTGAACTCAACTTCAGCGCCATGAGAGAGTTTGGTGATTGATGCTACAGCTTTGAATACCTGTCTCTTTTGGATTCTTTCGTCTTGTTCGTGGTGTACTTCCCATATTAGTTTTTGATTGGCAGTTTCAAGGTTTTGCGGATGAAATGTGTGGTTTGTAAGAATGAAACTCGGAGCCCCCGAGCGACGCACCGCGCACCAGGTCCCTGCCTCGCCCAGCAGCGGGTCCTTCTGTGCGCGCTTCTCGTTTCTCAGCCTGCGGGGCATGAGCCACGCGAGGGGAGGGCCTGGCTGCTCGCTTTTGGTCTTCCTGGTGGGCAGGGTCCACACCCCTGACTTTTCTTTACCAAAGCTTGTTCGACACAACTCAAAACTTTCCTGCGTGGCCAGCTCTGGCCCCTTAGACTCTAAGTGGGAAAAAGAAAGACTACAAGAGAAAAATGCCATGGTTGATGGACAGGAGCGTAAACATGAATTAACTCGGCAGACGGTGAGCCGGCAGGCTAGAGGTGACACCAAGGGAAGGAGCCTGTGCGAGGCTCTTTCTTTGTTTTTGTCCCAGAAATCCAGTCATCAAGTCACCATCAAGCGTGGATAATTACAAAAGCGGTTTCGGTAGCCGTATGTTAGATATAATTTTATATAGCAAGGGAGGAAGAGAGAAATTTCCTCTTAGCAAAATAGTCACTTTTGTCAACCCTAAGAGGTTTTGCTGGTGACCCTGTTGTAGCTGGCAGGAGTCTGTGTGTCTGTTTTGTTCTGTTTGAAACGTGTGCAGAGGGGAAGCCATCGCATCCTCTCCTAAGGGCTCGTCATCGGCTGGCAATTCGTTCTACACGATCTGCTTGCCTTGGCACTCGCGTTTTGAACACTGAGCCGGCTTCCACCAGTCCCCGTTGTGACAGTGACAGATGTTACATTCATCCACTTTCACCTCGATGCCAGCCGGAATGATTGTAGTTCCTGCAAAGCAGTTAGGACCTGGAACACACAGATATGTGGGTTAGCTGACTGAATCTGAGAGGCTCCCTTTCTCTCTTCCCTACCCCACCCCAATTAAACAGTCCAACCTCCAAAGCCATGAATGAGCAGGTCAGACTATACTTAACAGTTTATCATTAAAGAATTATCTAGTCACCTCCTTTAAATAAAAACTTTCCACCCCTGCTATCTTTTGCACACAGCTAGTATTCCCTATGCAATTTGTGATTATAAAAAAAGATCCAGCGCTCAAAAAATATTGTCTGTTACTGAGTACGTGCAGTTTTCTAAAGTAAGGTCCTATGAATTAAACTCTATCTGCTTTATGCTTTCAGGAGCAAAGGCTGCCGAGGTGTCCCCTGGAACTCGAGCAGGGGTTAAGCAAGGTCAGCGTCAGATGATGGTACCCGCGGCCTGCTCTCTGGCTTCCCGTGGTGGGTATGAGGTGATGAGCTCACTCAGTCCCCAGTCAGCACCTCCCCAAGCCCAGTTCCTGGAATCCCCGGCTTGTTTCTTGATAATAATGAATAATTCATGACCAGATGATTTATTCATGTCCCAAACAAGCTTTGTTAGAAGTTCATTTGATTTTTATAAATGGAGTTCCTTTAATCTGTTGGCTATCTTATTTTCTGCTGTTGTTTTAAAGAATGACCCCAATGGTTGACTTTTGAAAGTCAACTGGAATTTTATTTTACTTTTTCAGATCCAGAACTCTTTACTGAAAATGTCACTCGCTCATCATAGATGGTTGTTTTTAAAATTCACCAATAATCTCAGTTTTTCACTCCTTGTCTTTTGCTCCTTTCTCTGACTTTCCCTTTATTTGTCTTCTCTCTCTTTTTTTTTTTTCCTAACCCTCCCAATGTACAAATGCCAGTGTTCAGTATTGGTTATATTATTTCTCATATTCAAATGGAATAAAAATTGCATCCCAGGGTGCAGTGGATTAGAGTGGGGTGGTGCAAATTGCTGTTTCTTTGAAATCATTTGCTATAAGTTCCTGAAGTGCATATTAGGATAAAGCGAGGGAACACGGAGTTGTGTCTAGTAGTGATTTATTAATCCAGCGCTCCTGGCCACCTGCCATAACCACTACAAAGTAACACAGCCACATACATCAATATCAGTGCCCTACTCTCACTCTCTTACCACTTGATAAGAATTTATGAGACTCTATTTACTATCAAATAAATAAAACAGGGGGGATTTGTAGTTCCACTTCATAACTGTAATCTTGCTCTTATAAAAATGATAACTATTAAGGAACGATGCCTATTTATCAACATAAAACTATCTAATATGTTATCCCTTTAATCACCCATTGTTTTAGACTCCCAGACCTCAGTTGTGCATGCACTTACCAGTGGCATTTGTGTGCCTGTGCCTTTCCTTCACTCTGGGGGACAAACGTCTCGGGCATGTGCCTGGGCTTGGACAACCAGTAAAGGCAGGAGGGATCTACTTGGCCAAGGGCAAGAATTAAACAGCTAGTGCACTGTCTACTTTTACCCTGTAGGGCACTTCTTATGATGCTGTGGTTATAAGTCCCTGGCTATCCTAATCGCTGAGTATTTAAGGATCACTCTATCAATTTCATAAGTCCTAGGATTTAGACATTGTTTGATACATTCAACTATCTTTGGGACTAGACCTCCCTGGGAAGCTCCTACACCAAATCACGAGTTTGTTCAGTGACTAGCAGCCGAGGGAGTCTTCAGGGAACTTGGCAAGGAAGCATTTCCAGACCTCACCTCTGTCTCCTGTGGCTGTGTTGACAGACCTCTCTCAGCCCAGCCTGTCCCAGGTCAGACCTGGCTGGGGCCAAACTAGCTTCAGAAATAGAACTGGTGGTGACCACCACCTGCTTTCCTGGAATCACCTGGAGGAGGCGGTGTCTCTCTCTCCACCCCTCTACGTCTAACCAGTTCTTTTCTCCCCAATTGTATACTTTTAACTTTTCCAGGTGGAGAATAAAAAAAAAATTCTAAACAGTGGTTTCAAAACAAAGAAGTCCCTGAAGTAGGTAGAATATTATTCAGTAAGTGTCCTCCCAGCTTCTGGAGAGAATTCAGAAATTTGTCTGAGGAATGTTGCTGGCTCACAGGGGCAGGTTCATCTCAATCGCACTATAAGAGAAAAAGGCAGGGGTGGGGCTCTTGGTAAAAGCAGATCTCTGACAAGGCATCGTGCAGGTCTTGAGGAGTTATTTTACTAGGGTTCTGGTTTTCATATCTTCTCTTTTCTGCCTATGTCGGTGTCATGCTATGATCTGTATGTATTCGATCAGCCTCAATACATCATTTTTTCCCGTTTTTGTTTTTTTTTTAAATTTATTGTTATTGTTGAAAGTATTACAGATGTCCCCTTTCCCCATTGACTTCCTCCCCCATCTCTCGCCCCCCTCCCCAGGCATCATTTTTAAGAGTCATTTAGAATTTGCTGCGCCCTCAGCCCAGGAAATATTAATTTATGTTGATTGACGGAATGCAAAGAAACATTCTTTGCACTTTGCTAGGACTGACCAGTAAAAGGCACTGCCCGTGAAAAACACGACTTCTCTGCGGTCCACTCGGCAGTCAGAGGTATTTTACAGAATCCAAAAGCCCTGTTTGCACCCATTACAGTGCAAATTTCAGGTGTAACTAAAGCAAGCCTGGAGTTTGCTGTTAATAGTCTGACCTGCTTAAAGGTAATCTAGATCATTGTCAAACAGGACAGTTGGCACGATTTAGAAACTGTTTTGGCTTTGGTCTGTCCTTCTTGACAGTGGTGGCAGTAAATGCTAATTTTCTTTGAGCACGTGTGTGTCCCACACAGGCTCGTCGCACAGGAAACCTGTCCTCTGGCTCCCTTCCTCCCCCTTTTACTTGGGAGCTGCTTTCCTTCCGTCTTGGTTGAGGTGAAAGAATAAGACGCTTAGAAGAGACAACTTACTAGCGAAAGCGACGTATTTTAATGCAGGAGACCTGGAGCGACTCTGGAGGGGAGCAGGGAAAATGATTAAACTGAAGGCCGGCAAGTAGGACCTCGGAGAAGAGGTTAGAGGGATCGGAATTATTTAATCTAGAAAGAGAAGGCAGGGGAGGGACTCAGTAACTCCCAGGGAATGAAGGCTTATTAGGTGAGACGCGGGGACCAACTGTTCTTTCTTCCTCCTGACGCCTAGCAGAGGAGAAAATGGAGACACATTGGTCGTCAAGGAATTGTAAACTCTCACAAACTGCTCGGAGAACTGAGAATGGAGTGTGGCAGTTGCCAGCTGTGTGGGGAGACCTCCTCTCTTAGAGGCCCTTAAGAACGTAGGACGTCTCATCTGTCAGGTAGGATTTAAATCATTAACTCCTTGAAAACAGGAACTGAATAGCTATCATTTCCTATGGTCCAGGCCTAATACTACATCGAGCAAACATGAAAAACTTGGGATATGTTTGTTTAACTGGATAATGTAGGATGAACAAACTAGCTATATATTGGAAGCAAAATTATTTTATGAACTTACAGATCAGGCTTTACACATACACATCTATCATCTATCTTTCTATCTATCATCATCTATCTATCATCATCTATCTATCAATCATCTATCTATTATCTATCTATCTATCTATCTATCTATCTATCTATCTATCTATCTATCTATCTATCTATCTATCTATCATCTATCATCTACCTAATTTAATATATCTGGCCTTACCTTAGTAATATAGGTATAGAAATATTTATTAATTAATGGAAACATAGACAATTTCTTGAGCACTTCATTCCAGGAGATTGTCTTATCTAATCTTTCCAATAAACCATATCAGGGCCATATTCTCATCCTCAGGACTCTGAGCCTCATAGATGGAAAATGACTTGTGTGAAATCACATGCCTAGTAAGTGATATCAGTGGAATATATACTCAGATCCCCCTGACTTACAGGATGCCATGGAGAGCATCGCTGGATCCTTTGCCCAGATCCTCAGTTTCTATTCAGAATTGGAAGTCCAGTTGGCTTTAGTATTGAGGATGCATCCTGAGGTAAGAAATTTGATGGCTAGGAAGATGTGGAACTGCTTTTCTATGGATCTTTATCAGATTTACTGGTTTTAGACTGTGTCTCCAGAAAACATAATCTATCTAACAATGGAAAGGCAGTTCCCATGAAGAAGATGCTTGCAGTGTGGGACTTTGGTTTTCCTTTGGGCAGCATTTTCCACTGGTGCTGACAGTAGACCAACCCAGAAGCAGAACGAAAGGAAACTGTGACTCAGAAGACCTGGTTCAAGTTGTGGTTCTACAATCAATTCTCTCTATGATTTAGGCAAACGCTCTGTAACCTGAATACAAATGGGGGCCATATGGTCTAGTCTCAAAAACGATTCATATTTTTTGAAAATGCAACTCAGTGGGAAATGCAGCTTAAATCTTTCCTGGGAATTGTAGAAAGAGGGGAAGGAAAAGCAGGCTGGGAAGTCTCATACATAAAAAATTTTCCATGAAACATCAATACTTTCCCTGGTATCCTGTATTTCTCGGAGTACTTATTTCACACTCCTATAAAACAAAACCCAGTTTTGAAACATTTTTTCAACAATAGAAATCATTCAAAATAATCTTATAAGGAAGACCAATTTATTAAATACATAGAAGCAGAACTCCTCTGGCAAGGTGGCTGTGGGAGCCTGGAGCACTGTCTTATCAGCATTGCTTTTTCCTATCTTCCCACCTCAACTTCACAAATGTAGCCCATGAGGCATCTACACAGAGTATCTAGTGATCAGAGGAAAGGCATGTGGAATTATTTCCTCCAGCTTCAATAATCTAAGAGACCAGGAGAAAATAGAAGGGAAACGGTCATATTTATGGTTGTAAGAACTGAGCAGATTTACTCATCCGCTAAAATTGTCTATTTTGGTAAGCCTTAACATTTTAGAAACTCTACGGAAAAGGGAGTCTATAGCTACTCTAATCACACATCTTATAGGTCCTTGCTTGCTCACGATGTTAAACATC